ATAAAAAATCTGAATGTGACTTTTGACAACGACATCCAAAAAATTACAGAACTGTCATTGTCATGTATTCTCTTGTTGGTTGACTTCATATACATAATCGTCCAATGTCCATATGATTCAAAAAATTGGCGTCCTGTTCGCTTGGAAATGACGATCGATGACATTTACCATATAATTTTACATATAAAATGACAGCGATCTCTATTTCATAGCCATCGCTGACGCCTTTTTTTCGATCATATTGTATATTAATCAAATAACAAACAAATACTATAAAATCGAACTGACAGTAATTAACTAAGATTCTATAAGCTTATAATATATATTTATGGGACAATAAAAAAAAGTTACATTAATTTAATTCCTATATATAAAAAAAGTCAAACAAATTTTGATAATGCTTATACCGGGTGCATCTCAAAAGTGGCACGCCCTATAACTTTTTAATTTTTGAGATAAAATAACGATATTCGGTATTGATCGACGTATTCAATTACTGTTGGTCGTTTCCTGTTTCATCGGAAATGACTAGAACTTTTGATTTTAAAATGGCACCCGCAGTATTTTTTTTACTCTATTAGATAGAAAATTACACTCTGAATAGAATGACATATCATATGTCAACGTTTGACATTCTCGCTTAAAAAAATGTGTTTTAAATTTCAATCTAGAGCTGTACTCTAATCATGGCTGTACTAAAACACTAATTTTTAATCAAGGAGCCTTGGAAAATAGATTTGATTATCTTATGTTTTTCGTGTCTTGTTCTGACCGGTTAAAAGATGTCCAAATCGTAAACCTCAATTTTTTCAAATGAAACGAGGGTGGTTCATTAACATATTTGGAAAAAGCATTTTTTACGAATAATTTGGTACCACACACGTGATATTTCGAGTCAAATTGTCGTTATGAACCGCATATTACAATTTCAAATAAACCATATGCGAAAATGTCAAAAGTTGATATATGATATGGCATTCTATATGTTATTTCCGGTGAAACAGGAAGCGACCGGAAACAATTGAATGCATCAATCAATCCTGCTTTTTAAAAAAATAAAAAAGTTATAGGGGTGAGCCACTTTTGAGACGCACGCGGTATAAGTAAAAAAATAAATATGGACGAGAAGAATACGTAATAAATACTTATAAATAAATAATCTAAACTACAAAATACGATTCTTTATATAATTATTATAAAGATAAATGTCAATTTTTCATAGTTATTTTTACCGACAAAGAAAGAATGAAATAAAAAATCAAATACAACAAATTAATATTCAAAATAAATAAAACATTTTTAACAGTAATTAAAAAAATAAAAAATATATAAGTACACTTATTCATTTTGAAACAATAGTGATTTTGTATTAATGCTTCTATTTCTGTTTTCCTCGAAGCATCTCTTTTTTTGTAGTTTCATAATGAATCCTAATTCTAAAATAATTTTTCAATATTACTTTGGTCAATTGAATATAATGACCATTCAATGGATCGTCATCAAATAAATGATCGCCAAATACATTGAAAACATTTTGAGGCAATATTTTATATATAATTGCATTGATAATTAATATATTTAAAATATTGCCAGTTTTTTTAATAAATATATTAATAGTGGCATGGAAAAATCTGAAAAAAATTTCACCTTCTCTGCATATTTTTATTAAAAATGAGCTTGCATTAAATAGTTTTCCGTCTGTTTTTCTAATTTGAAGGCGAGAATCTGTTGCATCTCCTTCTAATAAAAAGATGCACTTAGAACAATGGGGACAGTTTTATATAATTTTTTTCCCACAAAGCCCACATCGGTGTTATTACAAGGTTAAATTCCACGAAGTGCAATTTAAATAATTACCATCAATACCTTCTGCTATATTTTTTGTAAGTTGTTCACTTTCTTTTAAACTTATTTTGTCTAATTTTAATATGCTACTGCTCCTGCAAGTTAATATTGTTATGTCCTCTAAATGTATAGCGTTTCCAGTTTCTGGAGCCCTAACATACGAGTGTATTAATATCTTGTAAGACGAGATGTTGGGTTATTATTATAGCCCCCTTTGCTTCGAATTGCCCCAAAAAACAATTTGATGTGGTCTTCAGAAAGTTTGTATGTTAAGATATATTTTAATAATTTTTTATTTTCAACATAAACATTATAGTTGCATTGAATACTTTGAAGACAAATTAAAAATCCAAAATGTCCATTTTTTATGAATAGATTATTTGCCTATCCCCCAGAGAAATGCCTAGAATATAGGATTTCATATAATTCAGAACTTTAAAGAAATTGTCAGCTTAATGGTGAAAGTGGCCGTTTAAAAATATATTTGGCGAAATTATTCCTAGAATTAAATACCTATGTCAAATAGGTTATTTATTTATTTATCGTATGGCTCATATACATGCAAGAAAACCAGACACTTAAACATAGACATAAAATAAACTACAATGTAAATGAAAACATTACAATGTAAATATAAAAAAAAACGAGTATAATATAAAAAGACAACATAAAAAACGTATTTACGAACACTATATATTAACATCTAGATGCCCTATCCATTCCAAAGCTGATGGAGAAGCCTCCAGAAAGTCCCTCCAGTCTTCACCATAAGCGCGTAGGTTGCACTCTCTAGTTATGTGATGGATGGTTTGGTGAGGGGATCCGCAATCACATTCTGGGGAAGGTATTTTTCCCCACTTATAAAGGGAATCCGCACATCTTCCATGGCCAGAGCGTATCCTATTCAAAGTTGACCATGTTTTCCGGTTTAGATCGGTACCCGGTGTCTGGCAATAGTTATGTTTGAACCAGGAATATAGGTGCGCATCGGCCATTTCTCTCCATAACTGAAGCCTCTGTTCTCGAGAATTATAGTTACTGCTTTTTAGTTGTTCAGCTGTTCGCAAAGGTGGATTCCTCGACTTAAGTCTATTCACCTGTAAAGCAGGAAGTGTTTTATGAACAGGTAGCGTTGAGGTAGCTATTATTTTATCAAATTCTCTAAGAAGAGCCTCGTTTCTGCGTAGATTTGGAGGTAGGATGTTACTCAGAACTGGAAGCCAGTAACTAGGGGTGCATCTGATTGTCCCTGTAATCAGCCGCATGGTGTTGTTCAGCTGTCTGTCTACGAGATTTGTGTGGTGGCTGTTCAACCACACGGGTGCACAATTGGGTTGCATTAAGGCATACTAGCATAAACACGAGCGTCTCCTTAGCTTCTGGAAGCACGTCTCCCTCTATAATACTGATGCCAATGTCAATGTAGCCAGTAAACTTCTGTCCACTCCACTCAACCTGGCGTCTAATAGACATTTCGTCTAACACCAGGTTGCATAATAATGGCTTTGAAGACTTCTTCTGTTTCAACGACAATGCCAACAGAATACCATTTACTAATCTGTACCACTTTGAAATGGTACCTAAAAAATAATATAAATGTGACAGTGATTTACTTAACGTTTCCCTAACAAAATTGTAGCCATTCAGTGAGTAAAATGATAAGGTCAGTGCAAAGGATCTAAGGCTGGGATTATATTTCTGTTTGCCTGAACCTTTTATCATTCTTTCAAATATGTCAACTGCAGTACCCGATAATGGAGCCTGCAAAAATGTTAATAAAATACAATTTTCTGTATATTATTTAAACTATCCATAATCCATACTCACTTCAATTACTGGCTGTTATGATTTAGATATCAATGACTTTTCTTTTAAAACTTTAAGCAGATCTTTTACGGATGTTATTTTTAATTTCATCCTGTCCACTTTCTTCTGCAAGTTGTGTATAGTTTTTTTGTAGTCAGAGACAGTCCTTTTAATAACGCATAGATTTTTTTGCCGTTTTTCCGGTGTAGAAAAATCACTACTTCCCATATCACCAATATAACGTCGTTTCCTAAAATATGACTTATTATAACTAATTTACTGGTACTAGGAATGGTTAAAACTCACTACATATTTACTTTTTTATTACTAAATAAATAATAATGGCCACGATTTAAATTTAAATTCAATTTGAATATTAAAAATTTAATTAGAGATATACTTTAATTTTAATTATTATAAACGTCACTCTTTGTAAATAATTCGTAGAGTGACCTTGGCATTTTAAATCTTTATAGTAATTTTAATAAAAAACTTAAAACATCATAACATTTAGGCAAACAGTAATTAAAACGTTAATGACTAAAAGCCATCCAATATAAATTTAATTACGACTTTTTATTGGAATGTTCACAATTTTAATAAGACTGGTTCAAATTTAAAAAAATTCAAGTCAAGTCATCAAAAAAATTCAAAGACAATAATATTATTATAATATTGTATTCTAAGTCTATAGTCGGGCACCTGTAGCTCCTAGTATAAGTTTTGTTAAGTGCAAACATAAAGTATGTGAATGATAGAAAGAAAAAACGGCGTCAGTTAGCTTGGAAATGACGATCGATGGCATTCCCCATATAATTTTACATATAAAATGACAGCGATCTTCATTTCATAGCCATCGCTGACGCGGCTCTTTTTTTCGATCGTAGAGGATGATTCGTGCTATACCCAGATAGCACATTTACGTTCTTTTCATATGCGAAGCAAGTGACTTTGGAGAACAACAATGTTCTATTCACATTCCTTTTTTTCATTGGGAACATATATGGCACATGAATAGCAGAGATTACGTTCCACCCTATTCAAGTGATATAGAAGTGCGTTTCACATTCCAAGATATATTCTATGAACGTAATTATATGTTCGTAAAAGAATGTATTTAAAAATAATATTCCAATTATATGATATTCATGTTTTTAATATTCTATATTTATGCTTTTCATATGTTTTTCATATTTTTTTATTATCTACAGAGGCAAAATAAAACACTAATTTACCACAATACACCAAAACACTTTACTTTTGCACAGGACGCGCGTTTCGCTAACCATGTTAGCATCATCAGCAGATGGTCAAAATTTAAGTTTTAATCATCTGCTGATGACGCTAAGATGATTAACCAAACAAGCGTCCAGTTCAAAAGTAAAGTGTTTTGGTATATTGTGGTGAATTAGTGTTTTAATTTGCTGTTGTAACACCAAAGATTCCAACCCTCAACTCTGTATCTACTGGGTGTCCTGTATAAGGATGCCCTGTATCAATATCCTATAAACTATAGATATAGATACAATTTTTTTCATATTTAGCAATTTTTTTATCTCTTAAAATCTATAGGATACCTATACAGTACATTCATATCTGGAACACACTACAAACAATTTGCTGAAATTAAATAATTTGGTGTGTAATAATCAAAAATTAACTAATAAATAGAACGGTTAAAAATAATAGGTAAGGATAAAGACGAACTTGAGTAATATATGTTTATTAATTAAAAATATTTTAATATAACGATATACATTGATATTATCTTCTATGTCTATGTTTCTATATTCTCTTGTCTACCCTTCTGAAATAATATCAGCAGAATTATACTGTTCAAATAAATTTGCACAACTTACCTTGGTATTTTTAATCTTTCTTTTGTTTTTACAAGCCATATTTTAATTATATTGATAATTTCGGTTTCTTTTGACTCTTGAAATTGACCTTTCATGGAGTCTAAAATATATGTTATTACAGTCTTTGCAACACCAAATATCTTAAGTTCAAATACCTAAAATTGCTTTTGGCCACTAACAATGATTTCAAACTTCTCTTCTGTTTGGCCCCATCCTAAGAATATTTTTGTGCAATTTCATTGCCCAGAACCTTATAAAGCATTTTCCTTGTACTTTGTGCTACTCCTGAACCGCCAAGTCTAGATAATTCTCGAACCTAATAATTCTAAAAAATACCTTTCTCTTAAAAAATACACAATAAATGATTATAGAAGAGCCTACATAAATACCTATATAAATACTATATTGTAAGAAATTTCAGCACTGGAACTACACTTATCAGAACAGAAATCTTCAATGATACTACCAGAGATACTACTACCTACTTTGATGATGTACAGAGGATAATAAAAAATCACTTTGGTCTGAATCCAGTTTAATGTACAATATTGAAGTCATATTTGCGTAACATTGACTTAATAAGATTTTGGCTCCTTTTTTTTTGGCTGAATTTTAAAATATTTTTTAGTGTAACCTTTTTTTTTTCGAGGTCTCATGGTTTTAAATTCACTCACCTTAAAATAGATACTGAAAACACAAACATAACAAGAACTATTTTACCGATTCTATCCTTAAAATAATTATTTGCATCACTTATCTTTACGTTATCTCAGTGTTTTAATCATTTTTTATTAAAATAGTTTGGATGAAGCACGTTTACGTTTATAGTTCACTTCACAAAATAGAAATCAACCAGAAGGTTGACTGCCAAAATGCGCGCGAAACGGTGGCTAACCTAAAAATTCCTTTATGAGCGGGTAACACCTGTCAATGTAGCGGCGTTACCGGTTTAATCAGGGCAGGTCAGGGTTTAGTTGAATTCTAACCATCGCATAATATGAATATATCACATAAATACGAATTTTAAAAGCGGAATAAATAAAAATAAATTATAATAAGGAGAAATAAATAGATATTAAACAAATGCATAGAGAGTTTTATTTTAAATACTGTATTAACCCATCTTAACACAATACTTATTACCTACCTACCTAATCATAATTTTATTATTATAATGAGCCCGATTTATCTGGGTAACATTGTGTTCAAGAGAAACTTTCCCAGCATTAAAAAAAACATTTTTATTTTGATAATGTGTACTCAAAACGCAGAACGTGCCTCTAACAAATAAATTTAGGATTGTAAACTGTTACACTTTAGAACGTATCTATAGCAACGCAATTCGCGTAATTTCCCAGACCATAAAAACTTCTAAGAAAGGTGTAGGGATGACCACGGATTTTTGCCAACCAGTAAAACGCAGCTCAAGGGTTCGGTAGAAAGTTGACCTTTAATTAATTGGTTTAGTTTAGTTTTAAAATTCACGATCTCTACCCATTTCCAAATTTTTGACTACGCATATATTATCTGCCTACCTACTAATTGCAAAAAAAACCGCTGCATAAAAATTACATGTGGTGGTATCTATACAATACAAACTTTACCTTTCGAAATAACGTATTACGCTCAGTCTGTAATCACATACCTATCAGATAATAAAAATACTTATTCAATATAACCCTGACAACAGCCTGCGAAAGCGTTTTAATCCGGCCCTGAGAGTTACCCGCTGCCAATATGGCGTCGCGATTCGTGAAACGTCATCAAATTCGGCAGAGTCGGCGTTCTGGTTGATTTCTATTTTGTGGTTCACTTGTTGTTTTTTTATTAGGTTATGTTATGGATGTACGATTCGAATCGATTTCAGTCGAAGATCGATCTTTTTACCTAAAATATCGATTAAAATCTAGCGAGTTTTATCAAACTATCTTTTGGTATAATCGATCTTTTTATTTCATAATGGAAGATCGTTTTTATTTATACAGTTTTACAGGTTTATTTATTTGTTAGAATAAGAAACACTGTATTTTTGCTTGAATATTTGTTTACAGGGCATCTATATACACTAATATATAAAATCCCTAATTATTTAATACACAAAAATTTAATAGTAACTGATAGTAAGAAAATATACAAATATAATGTATTGTATTCATTTTTTCATTTCGAAATCATTTTTATTCTCCTGTATTTTTATTCAGATATTGATATGTTTAGAACGTGAATAGCAGATACTTAAAATTTATTGTAAACCATAATTTAAGAAGACATTCTAAGGTCATGCTGATAACATACCTTTAAATCACATTCGTAGTAGAATGTACTATTCATATGCCATACTTATTAAAAAAAGAATATACTTATAAGAACTTCGGAGGAATATTCTTAGAATGTAAATGTTCCTTTTGTGCTATCTGGGATAGGATATATATTTCAGAAAAATATTTTAACTTTAACTGGGTTTGAGTTGTTCGAGATGATTTTTTTAAATGTATATTTTAGATGGTCTATACTTACTTTGCTATAAATATCGTAATCTTAAATCGTGCTAGTTTGTTCAAAACACGTTCAAAATTCTATGCCAAACTTATTAAAATATAAAATAATTTTAATTTTTTTTTTAAAAACACCCTGTATATTATTTTTTATTAGATTGGGAATTAAAAAATTAACATTTTTTGTACTTAGAGTATTTCAAATTTTTTAACGGTTTCGCAGATACTCGCGGTATTATTTATATGGCTTTTTCAACAGTAAAATACGGGAGAAAAATCATTGGGTGGCTTTGATAAAAATTTACTGTGAAAAATGCCATATGAAATATAAAATTTCGAGTTCTGCGAAACCGTTAAAAATTTTGAAATACTCTAAATACAAACAATATGTCCATTTTTTAATTCTCCATCTATTAAAAAAAAATGTCTTTTTAAATAGATGGAGAAAAGGTCTTCCGTTAAAAAAAAACATCCCGATCCACTCACTCTTTTAAAAAATTTCAAGTCAAGTCAAGACAATATTATATTTTATTCTAAGTCTATTATATACCTTTTTCATGGTTTCAAATTACTTCTCGGTAAAGTTTTCAAATCTATATCCAATTAATTTCTAAAGTAGTAAAAATAAAAAGGCATAAGTTGCAATAAATATAACTTGAAAAACTTTTAAAAAACTCTCACTTGACAAACCCCTCATGGTAGCAGTGGGCCCTTTACTATTTTTTGTATTTATGCCTCATGCATTTAGTGCATCGTAGCATTCAATAGTGTAGATTTTATTTCAAAAATAATGCACTGTTTTAGAAACCGCTATGCGCCACTGAATGTAAACACAACAATGAACAGATAACACTATAGATCCAATTACTTGACAAAATGGTGAATGCGAAAAAAAATTTTAAATTAACTATCTGGTTAGGCACTAACGTAACTCGTTACTTATTATCTTATAGCACAATTTAGGCATTTAACGATAACAATAAATGAATAATTACAAAAACTACCGTGTGATTGAAAAAAAACGGCGTCCAATTGGCTTGGAAATGACGACCGATGGCACATTCCCCATCCTTATCCCTTCCCCATAAGTTTACATATAAAAAATGATAGCAGTCTTTATTTCATAGCCATCGGCCCATCGCTGACGCCTTTTTGTCGATTGTACTATTTTAATAAAAAAATAACCAAATATGGAATAGCATTTAGATTTTGTGTTACATAAAATGTCTTTTAAATCAAAAATATTTATTCTTAGTTATTATCAGTCATACACTTGCACATAACTTAATAACTGTTTTCTGTTACATAATATTTTAAAGTATAACATTTTCTTAAAAACAAATTGAACATAAAGGCACCTATGTAAATATGGACCACTATAAAACAAACACTTCAAACTAATGACAACATATTATATCAGATTTTTTTATTAAACACATTCAGACGAGAAAAGACCCCTAATACAATCAAACATGTAATCAATGCATTGTCATAATATACAGTAATATTTGCAATGATGTATCAAGAAATATTTACTTTCTTAGTTCCTTAAAAAACTTTTTTTTACTGTGGTCACAAAGCCTGTTTGAATGACAAAGCAAAACCTTTACATGAATATATATATGTATAATAATGGAAAGATAATATGTATAATGATAGAAAGGGATTAAAAATTACTGTCTTTTTCAATTAGCCGTATTGGTTTGCGAGAAATGGCGGTATTCCATGTTAGGGATACTATTCCATATTTAGTTTCCCTTCATTATAAAATAATGGTTCAACTATTACCAATACACAGGTGTTTAACCAATATACTTTTTTACTTAGATTATATAGGGCAGGTGTAATAAAAAAATCTTAATTTATTACAATAAATTAATTTACTTAATACAGTAATACTGTTGATTCATGATATAAATTCTATAGTTTTATCCTAGTGGGCAACAAATTATTTACCAAAGTCACTTAAATTTATAATAACAGTCTAGATATTCATTGAGAATCAAATGCTGTATTAAAATTAAGTATATAAAAAATAGATATTCTATTTAATCATCAGTGAGAATATTGTAAGAAAATATAACTACAATAAAAATGAAAATTGAGAAATAAATTTAAACAATACAGGGTTATTCACCTCGTACGACACGGAGTATTGTAGTCAAATGAATAGATTTTTAGAAATTGTGAGTGATGGGATCATTGGAAAACTACTAATGCTACAATTTAAAATTATTTTTAAGAGTGTCCCAAATAAAGAAAAAGCTTCAAAGTATTTTTAAATGGAAAACCCTGGACAGAATTAAATTTTTAGTTTCTTCGATTAAAATAAAAGTAAATGTGCTTAAGGTTTACCGCACTTTAATCTTACCGTTTTTGAAATATTTCCGATTTTGTGAAAATGCAGTAACAATTTTAATGCTTCGTTTCTCGAGGTATTTAAGTTTTTTAAACCAAACATTGTGCTGACATTTTTCTATTTAATAAATTTTATGTTGTACTAATAAAAATAATACTATCTGATACAGAATGTCTAAAAATTTATATTAAATAACAACTAGCTTTAAACGACAATAACTTGTTTAATTTAAATGGAATATCCTGTATATTTTAGGTGAATCAGATGTATAATTTAATTATCTATCAAATTCTCTCACAATCTCAAGTTTTCGTAAAAAAATGCACTAATATACCTACAAAATGCAGTTTTTTAGTATTTGGAGCAACTATTAAATAACGCAAACAGTCAATTAATGTACTTAGTTCGAATACTGAGATCATATATTAAATGGTCCTCTTTTACAAATATTTAAACAGTTTTTTTTTATATTTTAATGAAATAAACAAACTATATCGACAATATTAGTATCTGTACTCTTCGAAAAATTGTTACATTTTTAAAAATAATCTAAAATGTCAATATTTCATGGGTATATTGATAAATGAGGTCTAAATTATAAGAAAAATTTAGTAACTAGAAAAACTTCAGTACATTAATTGGTTTTAAAAATTTAAATACGTCTAGAGAAATGAAGCATTAAAATTGTTACTGTATTTTCACAAAATCGTAAATATTAAAAAAACGGTAAGATTAAAGTGCGGTAAACCTTAACCAAATTTACCTTTGTTTTAATGGTAGAAACTAAAAATGTAATAATATACAAGATGTTCAATTTAAAATAATGCAACTTTGATATTTTTTATATATTTGGGATACTCTGTACCTTTTGAAAATAATTTTAAGTTGTAGCTTTAGTAGTCCTCAAACGATCATCCATCACTCACAATTTCTAAAAATCTAATCATGTGGCTACAATACTCTGTGTCGTATGATATATATGTGAATAACCCTGTATACATATTATTAATCTTTGCAATTACGAAATATGTAATAAATTGACGCTTTATACACAAATAATAATATTCCTTTTCGTTGGCAAGAACCATCTATTTCAGATGGTTGACTGACTTTGATATTGTTTCTATCTGAATTAAAAACAGTTCATATTTC